AGCGGCAGCAGAGGTGAGCTAGGGCGGCCGTGGCACATTTTTAGGGGCGGCATTCTGGCGCCGGCCATGCCGCCTCTAAAAATGTGCCGCCCCAAGCACCAGCTTGTTTTGCTGGTGCCTAGAGCTGGCCCTGAGGACCATTAACCAGGGGACAGGGCTATTCAGGGAGAATAGGGGTTTAAAAACAGCTAACTCCTAATCTACCAGAGGAGCTAATGAACAGGAGCAGCTAACAGGGTTGTTTTGCATGGGAGTTTAGAGGGGGAGTCTGACAGCCAGATACACTTCATTAATATTCTCTACACATAGGCCAATAAACACCCCCCCAAAAATCAAAACAAAAAACACCCAAGAAAAAAGGCTGCAGAAATAAAAAGAATGCAGGCAGAAGTCCAGCAGCAGAGTGGGGCTATCCAGTTTATTGCACTGAATGCAACATGTAGATTACCTGCATCATGGGCAGATGGCATGTGTGTGCTTTCACAGCAAGGAGTTCATGGCCCTCAGAAAGAGAGTACGGGCTCTGGAGACCAGAATGGCTGAACTGGAGGACGTAAGTGAGATGGAGAGGTACATAGATGAGACTTTCCCACACACAGTAGGGCGGCCCACCCCTAGTCTGACAGTCTCTGTGCTATCGAAGAGGATGAAAGTCTTGGGGAAGGAGAACAACCAAGTGGAGTGGAGGGAAACAATCCCATAATTGGGACCCTCCTTCTAGAAATATAGATAATTGGGTTTGCGATGACCAGGAGAACGACATGGTGAATTGCCTGCTGGGTGCGAAGGTTGCAGATCTCTCGAGACATCTAGACAAGCTTATATGCAGTGCTGGGGAGGAGCCAGTGTTCGTGGTACACGTAGGTACCAATGAACTGTGGAAAGGTAGGAGAAAGGTCCTAGAGGCCAAATTTAGGCTGCTAGGTAAGAAATTGAAGTCCAGGACCTCCATGGTAGCATTCTCTGAAATACTTCCAGTTGCACATGCAGGGCCAGTTAGACAGGCAGAATTGCAAATGCTGTAGACAGAAGGGGTTCAGATTTATTAAGAAGTGGGGAACCTTTTGGGAAAGGAGGAGCCTATCTAGGAAGGATGGGCTCCATCTAAACCAAAATGGAACAAGACTGCTGCCATGCTAAATGAAAAAGGTCAGAGGAGTTTTTAAACTAAGGGCTAGGGGAAAGCTGATAGGTACAGAGGAGCATATGGTTTAGACATCCCTTAGTGGAGAATCTACTAAAGGGGATTCTCTATATCCTAACAAAGAGGAGAGGATAGAAGTTAATAAAGTACAGGTAGGAACTGAAGAGAAACAGTCCAATGAAAAAGAGTCCTAATCAATTACATCACATAAGACAGACAGCTTAAAAGTGAAAAAAAATTTAAGTGCTTGTATACTAGTGCCAGAAGTCTAAACACTAAGATGGGTGAACTTGAGTGCCTGGTATTAAATGAGGATATTAATTAATTGTCATTAATTGTCATTATTCCACCAAGTTTCTGTGATGCTTATTATGCATCACAGAAACTTGGTGGAATAATGACAATCAATTGGACATGGTAATTCCAGGGTACAAAATATATAGGAATGACAAAGTACGTCATGCTGAAAGGGGAAAGATATGTGAAAGAAAGCATAGAGTCAAATAGAGTAAAAATCTTAAATGAATCAAACTGTATCATAGAATTTTTATGGATATAAATTTCATGCTTGAATAATGATATAACAATAGGAATCACACCACCTGACTAGGATGATGATGGTGACTGTGAAATACTCCAGGAGATTAGAGAAGCTAGAAAAATAGAAAACTCAAATAATGGGGGATTTCAACTATCCCCATACAGACTTGGTATATGTCACCTCAGGACGGGATGCAAAGATAAAGTTTCTAGACACTATTAATGACTGTTTCTTGGAACAGCTAGTCCTGGAACACACCCAAGAGGAGCGGCAATTCTTCATTTAGTCCTGAGTGGAGCACAAGATCTGGTCCAAGAGGTGAATATAGCTGAATTGCTCAGTACACAAAAATGAGGAAGCTAGCTAAATGAAAATTAAAAGAAATAGTAACAAAAGAGAAATGCCTGCAAGCTGCATGGCAAC